CCCCAAAACCCCAAAACCCCAAAACCCCTTGGCAACTTAAGAGTACAATAAGTTATATAAGTCTCCAAATATGAAGCTTTGTTCTAAATTTGTGAAGAAATTATTAGAGGGTGTTATCTTTTTGGAGTTGCAGAGGGGGATTTTTGAGGTGGGGTAGGTGAAGAGGTGTTTTAGAAGGATAGAAGTTTGGAAAGAATTCTTAGGGTAGGTGTATTAGCCTCTGCTGCAATAAAACCTGAGATGTAACATCAAAAGTCCTCTTATTGTGAAGAAAAGATTAGGGATTAGATCTGGGGTCAGAATTAAAAGTATGGATTTTAATGTGATAGGCTGTTCTGGTTTTGAGTAATCTTTGCAAAATCTCTTCCTCTAGCATTTTAATAATTCATTAATTTTTAAGTATATTTTTGGAGTTATTGAAGTATTATACTTCAGGGATATAAAAAGAGGGATTATCTTAAAGCTTAAAAGCTAATAAGTTGCTAAGAATTTACTCTTGCCTTGATATTGTTGCCATTTTTCTATTATAGAGATTTTTACTGAGAACAAAAGTTCTCATATATTATATTTACTAGTTATTTAGCATGAACAAAATGAACGTTCGAAATTTTGGATGAACTGCTAAAAGGGATTCATAATTGGATTATATCAGGGGAGGATTTCTTGGTATAGAATATAGTCAAGATTCTTCCTTTTCTCTTTTAACAAATTGCCCAAAGTAATAACATTTGAGTAAAAATTCTCCTATATACGCTAAGATACCAACTTCATCCAAAAGTGTACAATAAAATAACCAGTCTCATTCCCCTTTAAATACTACACAAACACTAAACTTAATATTTCTTACGTCTCGAAGTCCAGAATTTTATTAAACTATGTCCCAATACTAAAAAATGATATGCTATACCTGTCGATACCAAAATAAATCGACAACTAGTATTAGTAACTTAGGAATTAGAGGAAAAATGTACATTTGGGACCCGGTGAATTTATTTGGAAGAAATTTTTAGTAGAGAATTAAGGATTTAACTGGTGAAGCAGTCTGGAGCAACCACATCTCACATGCTGATTGTTTTGTCAAGTTTATGGCGAGCATGTGAGGGTCTAGAAATGGCCATGCTTTCTTCATCACTTTTATTGCTCTCATTGATAGACTTAGTGCGTATCCTTATAGCTTTGTGGAGTAACTTCTTGATTTCTCTTTGGATCGTAGAAATTTTAGCCATCCCAGGTCTTTTGTGTTTATTTCATTTGCATAAAACTTTGAGAATTTTGCAAAGAATTTTCCTCTGGGAGTGCAACCTTCTTAACAACCTGCCCTTCAGAGATGGCTCGAGCTTCAGGCTGTTTACGCATCAATAAATTAAATTGGAATTTATTGCTAGCCATGTTCTTTTCAATACTTGGAGAAGTATTGATGCTAGAGACTGAAACATTCTCATCTAGAAATTCTTCAGACAAGTTTTCATCATTTTGTGGAATATAAGTCATATTTATTATTTATGATTCCCAATGCTCACCTCTTATATGGGGTTTTGGGGTTTTGGGGTTTTGGGGTGTTGGGG